ACTTCGGTGTTTCGGCTGGTATATTGTCGAGTCCTGCTGCTTTCCCGCTCTTGATTTGTCTGATTGCCATCCTAATTTCTTCGGTCGTTGGTGGAATTGTAGTGAAGGAGAACACGGGTGAGGACAACCAAATTGTATTTAGGACAAATTACAGAATTACTTGGTAAAATAGAAAAACCATATAGTAAATCGTTAATTTGCAAACTATTATTCTATCATATCAAACCGGACTGTTGCTTTTGCAAACCTCAATCTTCTCCATCTTCTGCTGCCAGACGTTACGTTCTTTTGACTCACGTTATATACTACTTATATCAATATAAGTAGCACGCACCACAGAATGACATCTTTTGGGAGGTCTATGGTTGCTGCTTCAATGTCCGTTGGATTAACTGGAGCCCGTACATTTAAGAGTTCCTCAAAGCACTCTACCCATCTGCTCCTCTGTTCTTGAATTTCAGCGACTGGCCTGCCTTCTTTGTCCTCGACCGATCTCTCTGGTTTACTATATTTCCCTGCTAGTTTCTTCGTTCTATCATATAGCTGTCTCATATTTCCTTCTCTTGCAGCTTTTTCCGCCGTCGTTGCTAGTTTTTCCACGTATTTCTGATTGTCGGCATTAATTCTCTTCTCCACTTGTTTGTTTGCTTCTGTGTATTCAGCCTGTGGCTTGATTTTCTGCGTTGTAATTTGGCTGTTGCTAATTGCTGTCTTCTTGTTCTTCCTTGCTTCAATCTTGTCCAGTGTCTCCACAGAGATCCATTCCTTATGATGATGCTTGTTGCGGCCCAGAATCTCCTGATATGTTGAAGTTAATGCTTCTATGATACCTTTCCAGTTGTCCTCCATAGTAGTTTCCTCTTCCTTCAGTAGATCTTGTAAGGCTTGGAACCTGTTGTTGAGAATTATTTTGAATTCATTGAGTTTGTTAGTATCCGTAGGAAGGCTTTATTGAACCTTTGTAATGCTGTTCCCCCAGATGTCCAGTGTTTCTTTAGCTTCAGTTTCATCATGGCCACAATGCGGTGATGATCTGAAGCTATGTCAGCTCCTCTCCTGGTTTTCACGATTTTCTTTGTGAATTTTGTACTGATGTAAATATGATCTATCTGGTTCTCTGTGATGTGGTCCAGTGAGATCCATGTAGCTTTGTGTATACGTTTGTGTGAGAATATTGTGCCGCCTATGACCACTTTGTTGAATGCACATAGATTTGCAAATCTGTCACCATTCTCGTTTCTCTCTCTCAGTCCATGTCATCCCATGTTATCTTCATATTCGGTGTTGTCTATTCCGACTTTGGCGTTTAGATCTCCTATCAGAATGGTGAGGTACTTTATTGGGCACTTCGCCATGATTGATTGCAGCTGCTCATAGAATTGATCTTTATTGTCGTCATTGCTATCACTGGTGGGTGCGAATTGTGACGACCGAATTGCCGATATTCGGTTTGAATGCAGGATCGACGAACCAAAATTTTCTCAAATAGGCCAGACTACGTTCTTCTGTATAGCGTACCAAGCGTTTTTGCGACACTCGTATTAAATTATATCAAAGCACAGACTCTGTGATCAATTCAAAATGTTCTAATTGAGGAAATAGAACAAATTATATCAAAAATATAAAATACCTTAAACGGTACAGCCTATGCTATACAGTCAACAGTTTCTCGAACGCAAAGTAGTGCGGTAAACAATAAAAGAAACATTTAATACCAAAGGGTTCGATACCTGAGAATCAATAAAAATATTTCCAACAAGATGGGATCAAATGTCTATCTGCAGGGATTCCAGCAACCATAACAAGCAAACAGTTAAAAGGTTAACAGTAACACACTGAACCACGCCGTGACCTTGAGGTTAGTCAAACACGACCTTAATGTCAGTACTGTCCAACCAAAAAGCTGCGGAGGGATTTTCTTCGTGCTTTTTCCGTTACACATATCATTGGATAGCATTCATTTTGCTCTCCTCCTTTTTTGAATGATGCTTTGATAATTCCGGATATACGAGATTCCCATCCTACAGGTGCATTTCGTGCTTCTTTGGACAGCATTAGAGCAACTCCCTTTGTGTGCGGAGCATTTCCTCTTCGTGACCGGAGTATAGTAGCATCTCTCCTGTATCTAGCCTTTGTTGTCCAGCCTGTGTCCGATGGATTTCGCTGATTCCCAGTGCTCCCAAATTGTATTTCCTCATTTCCGTTGCTATTTGACTGGTCTCCCTGGTCACCCACATTGTCCGGACGTTTCATGTACCTATAAACATTGTTACCTTGATTGTTAGAAGTAGCATCTGCCTTGTGACTTCCAAAGGAACTCGGCTTTCCACATGAGGCGTCATATTTCTTCCTTCGACTCCCAGGACAAAGTTTAAATGGTTCACTTTGTTTAATGTGGTTGGCGCATTTTTAGCGAGTTAGTTTTCTACGGGATGGAGCTGCCAACCTCATTCCCAATCTTCCATCTTTTACACGGGCTTGGGACCGGCAGTGACTTAAGAAGAGCTACAGGCGGAGTTAAGTTGCAGGCAATCAACCCAAACACGTTGTTGTGATAATAATTACCACGATTTCCTCAAAAAGCTTTCAAGTTTTAGGACCCCGGAAAACTTCCCAAATATCAAAACAAGATGGTACACTGGTGTAATATTAATAATTTATTGTCAAGTAAATATGTTACGCCAGACGAGTCACCTTACTGGTAAGACCAGAGTGCCACAATTGCTACGTGATTCTCTGTAATAAGTTACTCAGGTTGGTGTGTTATAAGACACACTAATCATAGAAACAGTGAAGCAGGTTTGAGTGCATAAAAACGAATGTCAGTCAAACCTAAATGTCCTGTCTATAAGCTGCTGCACTTTACGAAAGTCACGTTAGTGTGAACAAGTTGCGGTTAAGAATTGATGCAAGTAAGGCCCATGATAGTTTATGTCACCACGTTACATGGTGAATCCATAATCTTTCATCAAATACGTCAACTTTAACACATTACTTTGTATGTCTTGTCAGTAATACATGTATTCCCCATAGAGAAGAATGTGAAAATAGGATACACCAAACCGACACCCTGTTGACTCTTAAACAACATGGTGAACAGTTATTTCCCTACCAAGTTTAGTAGAGTGCATGCTAGCTGGAGGATCTTCGTGTCAATGTTCCACAAGGAACCCCTGTTGGTATGTAAAATTATAGTTTAATTCGGTATCAGGACATTTATCTTTTATTGTAATAACAGACATAACGCCAAAATTATAGATTTGTCATTATGTGACTACCTAATCTATACGAACTTATGTGGAAGTCATAGCACGGCCTATACTAACTCATCCTATCGTGACAATCAGCAACATGATGCTTAGTACTTTTGAAGAACATATCTGGGTTGGAGACAGAATAATATATTTCATGTGTAAAGGAATGAGTCACGCAGAGTTACCAAACCTGCAAGACTGAACCATGTCATACTCATCAGTTGTTCCCACATTCACCATTTTCGACCTTCTCTTAGCATTACATGTTGAGTATAAATCTCATTAATTATATGCTTTGCTTCAAAGATCTTGTGGTTAGAAACCAGTGCCACCACAGGTACACTCCTTTCCGTGTTCATTATGAATGACCTTCCTGATAAAATTAGCTAAGCGACACCAAACTGTGCATGCAACGTGGTTTTATGAGTGTCCGCAAAAGGTGCAAAGGATTCATTTGAGCTCAAAAAGGGGTCTTACACCTGAAGAAACGGGCATTAGATGATGGGTTACAACTAAACCTTCTGCTTCATGGGAAACAAAAAACTTACGTCTCACATGGAGAACCGCTGCCACTTAGTTCCTTGGAGAGCGATCTTGGGCTAGCATCTGAAAAGGCCACGAACACCCTCTGAAACTATGTTGAGGATGCAGCCAAGGCAACTCCACTCTTGATGTAAAAACAACTCATCGCCCTTACTATACACCCTACCAAAACATCACTATCACGCTACTCTGGAAAACTCCTGAAAGTGCATGTCAAGGATTAAAATCTCAGGTAACCTCCCACTTTTGCTCATTGAGACTTACCTCCATCTGGAATGCCCTCCAGCTAGAGTGGCCACAGGCCACTTGGCTGATAGCTTCGAGAGAAGACTTGATAAACACGTACCTGCCTATGGAATGCCATCCCCCCTGGACCTGATATTCCTGATGATTGTCTCGTAACTTACCTGCTGGTATTATCAACAGATATCAGTAACCTACTCTTATTTAGCTTCTTAGCACCTACGTTAGCCTGCTATTTATACTCTTCTATACAATCACAGAGTTTGATTAATAAGTTAACTGACTTATTGAGAAAATTATCTTCTCGTATCTCTTCTTCATTCGAACTGAGTTTTTGTTATTTCGAGCATTGCAAATAATCAAGCTTCTTCCCAGAATTGTGATAACTGTTGGAACCCATAAACCTTATAGTCGTAAGACAAATGCACTCACTCAAACTACAGGCTATAGGAATCCACAAACAACTAACAAACAGATTAGAATTAATTAGGTCGAATAGCTAGATTATAAACGACTGGACATTACCGAATACATGTAACCGCACCGAAACAACATGAGGTGAACGCGAAGAAGTCAGTCGGTCTACTCAAGTTAGTGACAGATATTTTATATTGAAACCCATTATCACTGAAATTATCGTATATGAGAGGCTAGAAAAAACTTTGTTAGACTATACAATAAGCCTGGAACTGCTACTGGGACACTAAAAAATAGGAGGAAAGTGGTCAGTTGATTCATGTTGCTTGGTCACAAAATGCTGGTCACACAGAGCATAACATATTATTGTGCCGTAAATCTTTAACGTGAGCGTTAGTGTTACGTGACCAATTAAAATTGGCTTAGTCTTGTTAGTTGTAACATGGTTTATGTTTATCAATATGGATAGTTATTACTAACAGTGAGACTATAATTTATGGACGAAACCGATGAGATTTGCGATACCAAGCCTTGGGTTTTTGCGCGAGGTTCATTTATCAATGTGTCATGCGCACAAGTTGACGATGGCGGTGTTTAGTATTGACCACATGCGCGTTTAGTTATCTTACGGATTGTTTACACATAAATATAATAGCTAAACACGATGATTTAAGTTTTTGCAACAGGTAACTACAAAAGAAGGTCACGCAACACCTCAGATCCTTAGTAATCTTGAAGATAGTTCGTATTACTTTACACTACAAATCTCGCTAGTAGTCATCCGGATATATTGTCATAGGGAAGTAAAATACATGTATGATGTAGTGTTTTCGCGAGGTTTTTAGACTGGTGTACTATTTTTCTTTATTATGACTAAACATTCGTTGTTTGACTAGTTTTACGATACAGGTAGTCATTTACTTTCACGACAGTATAAACCTCTGCAGATGTAGGTAGCTATCAATCAGAGTATATGCTTAATATTTTCTGAGATTGCTTTATGTACAGTGGATTATTTATTCTTGGATCGTGTTCTCTGATCTTATTCACTTCCCTTTATATCACCTCTACCAATTTTATATTCATCTTAGTGATTTTGTGTCGCTGTTCTGATATGATAAAGTAACAGGCTGATGCACACGTGATAGCCCAATCTACACATTTTGAGGAAGACACTTTAAAGAACTTTCGGGAAAATAGCACAGAATACCCAAATTTTGATGAAAACTGCCGATTGTCATTTTACTTTGGGGGAAACCCAGAATCGGGAGGTTGGGAGGTTTCCACATTAATGATGACTGACCGAACCTAACGTTCTTGATCCTCATTTCACACTTAATTCTCGATCAATACATATTATTTATGATATGTAGAAAAGCTCATCAAAGTAATTTTTGTAAGTTTCACGTGAGATTTCAAAGAAAAGCTATTATCAAGATTGAGAACTCTTGAATCAGTGGTGTACGTCTTTCGGGGAGACTATGATTTATGGACGATCCTTGAGCGTCTCTAGAAAGACCTTGATATCGTTCATCTACATCGGCTAACTGAGGGTTATAAACCAGTGTGAGGAGTTAGGATCAATATTTACAGTTGGTAGTTAGGGCTAGGAATTCGATTTAGGGCTTTCATAACGAAATGACATCAGCCATAATACCAAAACTCAAGACCTGTTATCGTAAATCTGATTGGTTCGTCCATAAAATTGTAGTCTCGCCAATTTTTGAAAGATGTGTAGGAGAATACTCGAACTCAAGATTAAGAGGTAGATAATAAGTGAGTACATTTGTGCCATTATGTTATTGTATTGCTCAGTTTCCCAAGTTTTTCAAGTGAACTCTTAATACAGACTCATTTTGTAGTGATATCACACTTATTGTTTTCCCCTGCTTCGGTCTGGGCACCCGGGCAGTATCACATTCCTCACATAAATCAGTGATAACTACTGTCCCGATTGTTTTGTGTGGCGCATATGTATATAGTGCCTCTCGTACCAACGTTTATGTGTTCAAATCAGTAAATAAATAAGTATTGCTAACTACAGCGGGTCAAAATATTTTGACCCATAGCTCTTTTAGCCATTTTTCAAGGTTTCACTTAATGTATTCATCTAACCAATTATAATAAATGGTATTTTTTATAACGATCCTGACCAATTACCATTTAATTTCAAAAGATTCTCCAATAAGTCCAACCCAGTATATTTTTCGAGGTAGCTCACTGGAAAGTATTCAGCACGAAAACAATTCACCTAGCGTCCTCACCGACTCGTTATACAACAAATGTGCCAGTGATGATAGCACTCTATTCTCATCGTCCTGTCTATTTATTGCTCGGACGAAGTTTGAACACGGCATCTACTTTGATTCAACCTCATATAACAGCTAAGCATCGTGAAGTAAGTGAATAATACTTAATTCATAGTCTTTAGATAATTGAGTCATGCTGCACCATCGAAGTTACGACCGATCGACTAAGCTATGCGTCTTTGTGCTTGGATCCTGAAAATAAAAATTCAATTATTCTTTCCAGCTGGAACAGCCTTTCACTCAATTTGCCTTCTGGAAAGGAATTCAGACCATACATGTGTTCCTCCATGGTAGTTAAAGGTTTTTTTCCTGTTTAAGTAAACTGGTTTTTAGTCCCTGGATATTGATAATATGTAAACTTCTCAAAAACCTGATTCTTGGAATTATTTTCTGGAAATAATGTTACGAATTTTCAGTAGTAAAATTTGGTGTATTTAAGTTTGTAGTTATCTAGGTGAAATCTAATGTAACAGAACTGTACTTGTACTGTTTACCACGAAAACACCACAGTTTCTGTCACATTCATTAAGAAACCTTCATGATTTCGATCTAAATTCTGTTTACATTTATGTTAATTGGTCATTATTAGTTCCGAATTACTTATGAATTTTTCCTGCTACTGGTTGCGTGTATATTCTTGAACTGTTCTTATTGAGAGCCAAGTATAAGGCGCATAGATCAGAAAGACCAAACTATACTATCTTGAATAATTTTAGTTCTAAATAATGGCTACTGTATAAGAACAAACCGTGGGTATGACATGTCTAAAAGTAGACACAATCTTGAAGAGCCACTAATTCCATTCGGAATTTAGATGTGTTTAGGATTTGCCTTGAAGTTCTCATAAAACGTATCCAGAAAATTAATTATTCTGCTTAATGACTTTGTACTAAACGATTTGCTCTGTTTAGGAACTGGAAAATGAAATTTGGTTCGGCTAGTAATTTTTCAAACACTTGTAATAGATCTTTATTAATTAGAAGAATCAGGGTCAATAATTTACTTTAGACGTTATGGTAAAGTGTGGTAAAACAATTCATCAAAGTGTATTCCTTAAAAGATGTTCGTTTATTCTAGAATCTAACCAAGTTATATCTGTTATATGCACAATGACTATAATAATGGACTCCTCAAACCAAATTAAATACAACAGAGTGTTACCTATAACTAAATAGTTAAGTTCATTGGTTATATTAGTGATCTAAAGTCCCAAGCATGAATTATTTTTACAAAAGCACTAGTAGCTGGGTTTATTTCCACCACATATTATCCTCTACTTAATTTAACCGAAAACTTCGTATCTACAACAATATTGATATGCCAATCTGTCTCTGTAAGTAAATGTGTAAATGGTAGTACAACTTTCTAGATAATGAAATGTTCGCAATCAAATAGTGTAACCAATGAACTGACAACATTAACAATTTCTAATTATTATACTTATCAGTGATTTATCATTTTGTTTTTACCGCAAATAAGCTCTAATTTGTATAATCTTAAGTTTCATTCGAGGTCGTCAAAATCACTCCTCATCCAGTTTCCTTTATATTTACTTCAAGAAGAAGTATCCCCTCAGAGTATTAGCAACTGGTAAGTGATAACCATCCTGATATCTTTAAAAGCACTAGAGGTCACTTCGTTCAAAATGTAAAGTAGATAATAAAACTTAATAATCACCACGTATGCTGTCTAGTGTTTATATTGTTTCGTCGTTCTTATGTGGACACAAAATTAGAAATTCGTTTAGAAACCCGGTATTCAAATATTTGTAATTCTAAATAAATACTTCATCCATCATCTAGGTGTCTTAATTTTGTTCTCTTGATGTAATTACTTAAATTGAACAGCAAACAAGCTATCATCGATTAGTAGACACTAATGCTGAAAACTAGCTGTAAATTTAGTCAAATTAGTGATGCAACTACTTCAAGGTATTAAATCAACAAAGTATGTATAAGGGAGGGAGATCGGTTGTTGACTAAATGAAAATTATTCAGTATATCAGTACAGCCACCTATCAGTTATCAATGGTAATTGTTATAATTTCTCTTATTACGACCCAGCCACTATTGCTTGGTATTCTTAGACACTCACTCGACAAGTCCCCAAATCAGAAAACGGTTTAACACGTACGTAATTATTATTCTAAATAACAAGAGTAGATGGAAGTAGGAATATATTTATAGTTTTTGAATGAGAAGATTCTAGAGTCTTCTCCAAGTATCTGCTAGCGCTGATTAGATAAAAAAATAGTCAATCAGTGTGCCCCAACATAATGTTGCACGGAATATGCTTTAATCCAATCCATATTCCGCTAACAGAAATACAAATCGACGGTCAACTAAGTTTCCGTATTAAGCTTTCAGTCGCACTTATTGTTCGTAAGCTAAGTTAGATTATTTGTCCACGCAAGTGAACTCAGATGGACCGGTATTTGAAATTACGACTCATGTTGAGCGCTTTAGCTGTCGAGCCACAGCTTTATATACATTCACATTCTTTTTAAATTAAAAATCTAACCTTTGAAGATTATTTTGTATGGAATCGTGTTTCTGAAAATATTAAGGTTTACTCCCAAGTGGAATGGAAAAGGTGATAACTAAGTAACTTAATTCATCGAGTGAAGGTTTATGCACTTAATTTCTAGTCATAGTTTAGTTGGATGACTGCTAAGTGCATTGAAGACGATGGAGCGGAGTTAGAACATGCGGTCTATTTGTTGAAAGCATATTTTAATCTGACATCCTTTTAAGATATAATACTAGTTTACTAAATATGTTGAGTATGTAGATAAGTTGGATATAGCTGGACATCTTTTGGTTTTAATTCATGCTATGCTTCAAGTAGTGGTTATTACCATTGTTTATATTACTAACAGTATTATACAACAAATAATGATACTTAACATGCACTTATAGGTTTTTGTACTAGTCTGTAAGTCACATGTATTTACTACGTAACATTTATTCACACATCAAAGCTACTGAAACTTTGGTTGATAAAATATGGTATAGACTAGTGACTCAGTGGTTGAAAATACTTTTTTTTAGGTGATTAATGACAGCTCTATATTTTAAGTAAATAAAGCATCTCTTTGTAACCTGAGTAGAATTAAAAATTTTTATATTCTCTTCTGTGAGTTTCCTGTTGCATTAGAATTACTTATTTTCAAATTTTCTACCATATAGTTCAAAGCTACCACTCAACGTTTGGTACATGATATTTGCTCATCTGGAAAATTGACCAGTAGTCAATTCGCCTTAGTGTATGTGTCTTCTAAATTATCTTCAGCCTCATTGGTACGTGCGGGTTTTATGGGCTACCTCATCGGATATTTGTGTACAGAGTCCATTAAACAAGAATTTTTACCCCCATCCTACCTTCCCGTTTTCACCATGAATCATTCTTATCGAAAACATATTCTCTCATCATGGAGATCTAAGTTTGTGAGCCGTAATCCAGAATGTATAATTCGTGGTATTGAAGATCTGTTTACCACACTACCTAAGCTCTCGTTTACTGACAGCAACTCTATAGCCACTTATACGAATATTTTTCTCAATACAGATGGCAATCTATCAAATTCCAGTGTACGTATTCCTAATGAGAATCAAAATATTAGCTACAATCAACTTAGTCTTGCTAATGTTCTTGTAGACGGATATGGTTTCCTTGTTCATGGAATAATGGGTAATAAATTCACATCTTTAGAACTCCTCCAACCTTCATATTCATCTTAGTGATAAATGAAAAGGTAAATAATCTTTTAAGCAATCTTTTCAAAAATAACTTCTGATATGAACTATAGCTGGTCACTTTCTAGTTTTCGATATAGAATCGTGCCATGCTGATTAGTGCTTTTATTCACAACAATGCATTAAGCGGAAATACCTAGCAGAGTTTTCTTTTACAAATTAATTTCAACGACCACTTACTGCAAAAAATTAATTAAAGTACTAAAGAATTAACCTGTTCTACAGAGTCCGCATATTGAATCTCTCGCTCTTTTTCCCATATTCTCCATTCTCTGGATACTTGTAGATTAAATTGCATTGACGAATAAACTAATTAAATATTAAGCTTATTAGAATACCGTGGATTCAAAGATTTAAGCAATTGTAAGGCAACTAATATGTTGGGCACCTCGATTTCTCAGATTAGTAAGTAACCTATAAACCCAATATCCTATGACTATTTATGTTTAGTCTATATGATTTGACATCTAATACATTGGTTTAATGGTAGGTACGTTGAGGCAACCACGAAGAAGCTCTGGATTTGAATGGTGCGGTTTCGAATCCCATAAGGAGTATAATTAGTCCCCTCAAGATTGGTGACTCGATTTTTTGTTGGAAGTCGACCAATATAAATCTAAAGCTTTTTATCGATTGCTTTTAATTATTTAACTTCAATAACCATTGAATGATTAAGCACCTGATAGTGTCTCACTTTATTACCTTTCATTTACTATCATCTCTCTTGCTCGTTTATTTACTTTTTAGGCATATAATTGTTCTAATATAATTAAAGACAACATTCTATGTAGTAACTATCTTGGAGCAAGTACTGATGTTATTCTCCGGCCTATCGCACCATTATCAACTTCTTCATTTACTACAATCCATAGCTTAGACATTCGCAATGTTCATCAAGCTGTAATCATGGGTTATCTTCTAGCATTTTTATCATCCAATATTAACAATACACCAACAAGTCAATTATGCATATCAACTAATTGTCCATCAATAGAAACTTTAGTAAAATGGACTAATCAATCAACTAATCGTTGGACAACTTATTTAAGTCATCAAATGTTTAAAAATCAATCCAATATTACGTTCTCTCTTCTTCCTGTGAAATCTAACCATTTAACAAATATATCAGCCCCAACAAAAACTATACATAGTAATAATGATAATGATTCGTCAGATATAATTCAAATACGTGTAGAATCTTCACAATTGTTTTCAATTTATAAATGTTTCAATTCTAAAAATCACGAACATATTAGTACTGTACAGTTTTTACTGGCTCGATGTTTGTTTACATGCATGTATCATCTGTTAAAGGACAGGTATTCGATGATGGTTTAAAGTCATTACTATTACTTTTTGTATTTATTATTACCCACTTTCTGTATAAGATAGAGTTTTGCTTTGACAAGAAATGTGTATTTAAAAAAATGTGCTTACATTTCGCTGTCTTTATTGTGAAACGAAATTGTGATTGATTATTCTTATTGGATGTTTTACACCGATCGACTGGTTGGTAAACAGTCCTGAACTAATCACGTGACTATTTGTTCGTAAGGTATGATACATAGGACGGTTTTGATCGGTTAGATAGTGACTGACCTACAAGCTTGTTATTGTACATCAGAAAAGGTATTCTGAATAGTGATCTTTTTTAATCTTGAAACATTCAGGCTATTATGTCAGTGATTTGGTCTCATAAGTAGTCATTATCCGACTACATCGTATCATTGCACATCAGCATTGTTTTTCGTTTTGACAACTGAAGCATCGTTCATAAATGCTACTTTATAGTAGACCGATTGGAAGGAAACTGCTAAAAGTATTTTATACACAAGCTTTGATTTTGTAGTGTTTAAGGTTTGAAACATTAGCTAATATCTTTGAGTCATACTTCTATTTCTCTAATTATCTCTGGATGCGTTTTTTTTAGATATACTTTAGCTGAGACTGTGTGTCAATGTAGGATACTAGTACGCATTCACGTTATTCTCTAATGAGCCAGTGGTAAAAGTTTCAGCTATACGTATAAGGACATAGTAGAAAATCCCAATAGAAATCTCGAAAAGATTCAAGTCTATAGTAATATATGTAATTACTTTCAGTACGTGAACATACATTTTTGACATATATCTATCAAAAAAGAAATAAAAACAGTGGGATTGTAGTGTCCTGGAAAGATCAAAAAGTTATTCATGGCTCTGGTATATGGATACTACGAGTTCACCTAGGGAGTTGGGAAATCTTGATTTTTCAAACCAATGATCCAAATAGACTAAAAACTTAGGGGAATGAATAACTACCATGCATTTAGGTCTTTTGACATCGCTTTACTACCCTATGGTTTAAACTTTTGCCTTAAAGACTGAGTAATGCATACCTCAGTATGGGCCTAAATCTTCGAGTCCTTATAAAGTTAAACGACATTCTTTTCATATTTTCGATGTTCTGACAAAGTAGATTACTTTGTTACGCTTAGACTTTTAAAGTGTCTGGTAGTATATCGAGATATTTGCAAACCTCTTAACAAAACAATTTAATACAGATATCTATATATCTAGTCGTGATGCCATGGAAAAACAGTCTTCAAAATAAACAAAGCATTCACATTCCTTAAACGGCTAAAAAACTCAAAAAACAACTTGACATGAACTGGCAAAGAAAATGGGAATGTGGAATTTGGGTAGTTCTAAAACCCTGACCAGTGAAGTTCAGTCATGCTGAGTGTGAGGTAGTTATCCACCAATAACAACACGAGTTGATTGGAATTACGAAAGTAAACCGCTGGATGCCAACTCAATAGCCTAAAAGACTGCTCAGGGCCTGAATGCCTTAGCTTCAATCCGTGGGGCTGTCTTGGATGCGTACTGATGAGAAATTCCATGCTCAAATGAGACAACTACCTAGTGCTTTCTACTTATCAATGGTTAAAGTCAGTTCGTAATAATAATAAGCTATGAATAACAAAGAAGTAGTGAGTACATTTTATCATTCGTTCTCGCGAGGTTAATGATACTGCCTGATTGGCACTACCAACGGCCACCATGATATCCGGGTTCACAGAGTCTATCTGACGTCTTTTGAACAAATAAACCTCATCTCAATGGCCTCTTAGAGGCCTTGATCGGCAGCATTTTCTAACTGATTAGTCATCAATATCTTATTTGTCTAATACTTAGTATTAACCTCATTCTGTCAACCAGTTTGCTAAATATGACCATCAGTCTACGTGACTTGATATCTTGTGTACAGTGTTTTGATATTACATGATTGAAGATAGTTGGGAGGAAAGTCAGGTTCAGATATTCCTGCCATTTGACTCCAACCATTTGACATAAATCAAGTATATCTGTTATTATAAAGTTCCAAATCAGAAGTCCTAACTTATATAGGTCACATATATCACGTGTTAGATTTCTGTTTTTCTTCGGACAACTTTCATAGTCTTATTATACACCAGTCATTACCTTACATTAAGATGCCTGTGTTGATTAAACCGGTTTAACTAATATCTTACTTATATTAGCAGAAACCAAGCTAATTTAACCTCTCTATCTAAATTCATAACGTTCAATCCCCAATACAAGTAAGCAATATTACAAAAGAATTTACAATTATAGCTACAGTGACTATAAATTATAAATAGCAAAATATGTGGACAGTATTATTATTACCATTATTTCCATCAAATAAAGTAATAATATCCTTCAGTGTTACAATGTAATTCAACTTGGTGAATATTTCCTCAAATTGATAAGAATAAAGATCAAAGCATTACAGAAGTATTTCTTATTACGTTATTTATAAAAAGACATAATTTAAATGTTAATTTTAATGGTCAATTGTTTAACATTAAACCAAATATTCATGTTTCAAAGAGAAATTCTTTTCTTAGTTATATTTAAATATTTTGTCATTATATAATCGGTTAGTTATAAATGAAAACAATGGAATGTTGTAAAAGTTGATCCTTTCTCAAGTTAGACCATGTAACAGCTTTTTATTAATGGTGGCAACAGGTAGGAGATTAAATTAAGAAGAAATACTTGCACTGAAATGTGGACACATTCTTTTTTTCTCCCCTAAATATTGAATTACTAAAACTGCATACCATCCAAGTTTCTCTTAAATTCCTTTTTATATAATATATAGGTTTATAAATAGATAAGTATTTATAAGTATATTAGAAGACAAAGTGGGTATAATAATAGTCAACAAATTGACCAATAATTCTATGTGTATTAAAAAAACAGTTCCATTCACTATTGGGGAAATTATTTTTTTATTAGTCATTAAATAGAGTACCAATTTGTATACTGCCCAAAAGAAACCCATGTGTATCTCATCTTTAGATAGATATTTGTTGATAATGTTAAGAATGTATTTGTTTTTCAATTCTAATTCCTATTTATTTGTACTATGACATATGGAAAAAGGAATTTTAAGTAAGAAAATAAACGAACTAAAACAACATTTATCTAATGAAGTAAATTTAATCACTAACCATCGTTTAAAAATGATCTACTTTGTTGCATTAATGATTGTAACTACGAGGAGTATCGAAATATGCACTTTGAGTATACATTATTGTATAAGAAGAGATTAATTGGGAATGAGAAGATAAATTACCTTATGATCAATAAATACCGATATTAGTTTGATTCAAAATTTGAAACGACACTAGAGCGACCCATCAGATTTAAAATAAAATAAAAATGACTGGTTCTGATACAGTCAGTCGTTGAAAATAGTTCATCGAACTATAGACAAGACAATACCTGGCAAACATGTGAATTAACTCAATCTGAGGCAGCTTCTGAGCACAAAGAGATCAAATGTTCTCTATGAATACCAAAATAGTAGTACCACTTGTAGTAAAAAAGATCATGGATAAGAAATATGAGTCAGGGAAAATAAATTGGCATGATAAGAGGTATAAAATAAACTAGAAACTCAAAATATGAGGAAAGACAGTGAATATGTTCGTACCATTCCGACCAATTTAAAAAAGCTGATTACGGTAATAACAGTAAGCCAACCTAGTGACGATTTCATGTACTGTAGTCATGTTTTAGTTTGACATGCTCAACCCACTGCAAAAGCAAGTGGTTAACTGAACTCAGTAACTAAATGGATAATGTGATGACGTTAGAAGTGAACGGTACTGGGTTCGAGTCTCGGAGTGAACATCAACTCAGATGAAAGTATATCCAGCTGACAAGCCACAAGCAGTCCTAGATTCTACTGTTTGCCATAATCCATCTTAAAATAATTATTTTAATAATAATTGATTATATAATGAAGCCACCTATTTTTGTTAAAAGAACATCAAGAGTAAATTTTAATATGTAAAATATAAATAAAATAATATATAATAGGTAATGTTACACCATTATAATCATTTTAATATTGCGATCGGAGATTCGTCACACTTTCTTCCTATGTACAAAGTTCAGGTTAAAATTGTTCAATAACAGTTCCTTGCACAAAGGTTAGTAGAGTCAGCATCCGTTACTTTCTAACTATTATGAACGCATTTTTCGTATCCACCTTAAATTAACTACCCGTTAAGTGTCTAGTTATTGAACTTGTGAACACTTGAGTTTTTTTTTAAATGAAAAATAGGTTTAGACAAATATGTCTAGAAAACCTTATAGATCCACTTTCTCTTGATTATTTCTATGTACTTGTCACCACACGTACATGTAAATTCAGAAATGTTATTGGAGGTAAATTTGAAAGGGTATTGACTCGATTTTCATTGGCTTAAAATGTATTTGATATCAATAAAATAAAACAACTTAGGGATGCTACTTTTCCATCAATTCTAACTACAATCTCATCTCCTTTGAATTCAAGATGGATGAGAACGAGTTGTCTGATGACAATTAAGTGATTGAGACTTTCAGTAAACGTTTTTTTCAGACTTCATAATAAACTTTCTTAATTATACTAAAAACATTTAGTGAACTTAAATACGAGAAACAGTGTTTATGCCATCAGGGAGTTAGTTAAATATTGCTCGGATCACAAGCTAAAATATTACTGAACCAAATAATAGTTGTATAACATAATGTCAATAGTTATAATTGGAGTAAAGATTATTAAAAATCTCAGTCTACTATAGCATTAATAGATTGACAGCTGTTTCTTTCTGAATACATGAGTTTAGTCCGAATATTTTTAGTGGCAACTACTTCAGCAAGGTATAGAAAATACTGTTCTTTCGTCTGTTAATTAAATAATCATTTTCTACTTTATCTAAATACAAGTAGCATATACGGGATAAGCTGTGGTTGATTAAGGCATTAATATACTCTCCATTTATTCAAAAATCTCAAACTTGGAGAACAAATTATATTTTTTCTTATTAATCAACACATGTTGACGCTAATGATATCTCTTATAATTGAAATTCTATAGTTTTCGTACTATCACTTTTACTAGCGATACTATATAATAAACAGAGGGTTGGAAAAAGTTAGTC